GATTGATTTTAAAATTTTACTGCTGGTTTTTAAGGTCCTTAACGGTACTGCACCTCCTTACCTGGCAGAGCTTCTTAGCATTTACCGCCCCAGGAGATCTTTGAGGTCAGCAGACCTGATGCTTTTAGATGTTCCCAGGTACAGACTAAAGACTGGGGGAGAGAGGGCTTTTGCTGTGGCTGCACCCAGACTGTGGAACAGTTTACCTCCTCACATCAGATTCTCCACAAGCCTAGGAACTTTTAAAACTGCTCTTAAAACTCACCTCTTCTCATTGGCTTTTAGCAAGGTTTAACTTATTGTTTTAATTTATTGTTTTATCAGTGAGGAGTTTTATGCACTTGTGTTTTATTGTATTTTATATTTGTATTTTGTTGTACAGCACTTTGGTCAGCCTCGGTTGTTTTTAAATGTGCTTTATAAATAAACTTTACTTGAGAAAGAGTGCCATACAACAAAAGAGTGCCATACAACTGAATAGTTCTGCTGCTCTATGCTTTCACTTCAGGAAGTGTGACTTTCATAATTTGATTTAAAATGTCACGGTTGAAAATTTCTCATTTACACTGCATGCACTGTCAGCTACACAACTAAAAGCTAGGAAGAGAAACTAGAACAAAACAACTACCAATGGTTAGTAATCTAACTTTAAAGCAAATTGCTGCTATTGCAAGAGTTGATAGTGGCAACAAATGAAGACTCTTCAGAAAGATTGGTCAGCTGGTTGTTGTGAGGTTGAAAGGGGCTCACTGTCATTTGCACCGGACAGCAATACACTTGATATAAAATTAGCTGCGCACAACAGAAACTAAGTGCACATTTAACAAATGTCTCTACAAATTGCGGTGAGAGATCGGTCTTCAAATATCTGCTCTTTGTCAACACTATTAATAAACTTAGGCATGTGATTTAAAACAGCAGTGCTTTCTGGTGTCTTCTGAAAGTTACTAGGAACACATTGCATTCAGTGGCTCAGTGTGCGAGGTAGCTGCACTGGGCCTAGCTGCTGCTCTTCTGACAAACGGGTACTGAGGTGAGGACAAAAGTGGCATCACTTACTCTACTGTAACAGGATGACTTAAAATTGATCTAGTGCAATATTAAACTATATTAACCTGATGATGCTGATATGAAGAGAAAACATCACTACTAGATAACACCAATAAAAATGTAGAAAATATGAAGCCATTTTCATGCATGTGCGCTTAACTTCTATCAGATTACATCAGGAGAAGTGTAGGGCAAAATGCAAATATCCCACGCAATTGGATCGGATGAGTTTTTGGGGGGGGTTTTTTTGGGGGGGGGGAACCTGTCAGCTTCATGGGTCCATGTGATGTTTGAACAGAGCACCTAATACTGCAGCAAATCTAACATTTCCAGCACACTGCAAATTTATTTCCTGCTGTTCACTACAAGTGAGAAAAGCAGAAAATATCTCAACCAGATTGTTCCAAAACTGTCCTAAATTTGTGTTTGAAAACAGCTTATGTCTACAAACACTATGATATTCTGCCCTGATGGTTGGCTGTGCACACTGTAGTAATTAAAATAAATCTCAGGTTGGCTGCAAAGCAAAAAGAAAATTTAGTGCGAGCACACAAGCTTTGAGATTCAACTATAATTCCACATTTACTCATTATTCATCTCTGAAGCTCCTCAGTGACATTTAAGCTATTTCAAGCACAATAGATAGTCACGGTCTAATGTTTTTCTGCTGAGCTTGCAAATCAACACAAGCAACTATGTATCTAAACCCCATTTAGACTAATTTCTTTTGAGGAGCTTGAGTTAAATCATAAATATTACAATAAATACATCTCTAAGCAGGAATCCTTATATCAACAACTCTTTAGCCATGGTTAACACAAAATCATTAAGTCACAAAATGTACAAGGCTTTGTTGACACTACGTGTTTAAAAAACAAAACAGATTTTCCTTCTCCATGGACTTTAGCCTTTTAGCCACACACGCAGTTTTAGGTCACTGAAACTGGCCTTTTGGAAATCATGGGTCAAGAAATTCAGAAAAGGCATTTGCAGGGTTGGCAGTTTTTGACGTTGCAGAGCCTGTGGTTCTGATTGGCCGACATGGCTTTATGGTTTGTCCACTTGGCATGTTCTTATCAGTGCTTCTATTGTGTTTCTGTATGTTTTCTTTTTTCCCCTCTATAAACTGCCTCTGTGGGTGTGTGTGGTTCTTTTCTTCCTCTTTTTTCCTCAAAAAAAATAGACTAATGTATGCAAATTAGACCAGAGAGAATTTTGAAGTGGCTGAATTTTCCCAAAATCCTTCTAGAAGAAAGTCTTGCCACTGAGCAGCCATCTGGGTAAAGCTTTGTGGCACTTGTTTGGGGAGTTAGTTTAAAGCAAGTATCTAATGAACTCGAACTTAAGCGGCAATTGAGACAAACTACACTCACAAATGAAATGTTTTAAATGATAATGAAATTATGTACAGATTTTCCCCAAAAGCAAGGGGTTTTCCCCCCCTTCCCTTTCCCCCCCTCTCAGTTAAAATTTCATAACCATCTTTGCTGTTCTGAATAAATTTCAACCAGTATAATGTCTCTGATTCCTCTTTTTCACTCTCTTGGATGGAGGTTATCCGTTTTTCAGATTCCCTTTGTACTAAGCTACTTTCAACAAGTGTTAAAAGGTTGAGAATGAACAATACGTTAACACTGTTAAAGCAAGGCCTGGGGACAGATAATAAATATGTTCAGAGCAATCCCAGATAGCTTACCGATCAAGAGGATTGTTACAGGTTGTTTTCCCAATAACATGTTAAATCATCATCATTAGCTTTTGAATTCATACTTGATTTAATCTGCATCACTATAACTTAAATATCAGCATATATAAAACAAACACATGCAAAATGGTCATGTGTAGGAGCGCACATAAAATAACTCCAAATCATTTTTTATGTTTGTAGAACAGTATAGATAACAGTGCACCTGGAAAATATTCTTAATTTGATCATATAATATAAATTTTGAAAAAAAAATATATATTTGAATATGAATTTTCATAATTAAATGTGGAAATAAAAAAAGATCAGCCGTATGAAGACATTGGGCTGTGAGGTTGATGGAGTGTTATCCACCCACATTACTGCAGACTGTGTGTCAAAGTCGGAACAGCTGTTTGGGGCATATAAGGCATGCCTGAATATTTCTATTCATACCTTTTTTTTTAAAAAATAAATAAATAATCAAACATAAAGTTAACCCTCCTCCCCTCCCAGTCAGAGATGATCTCAGTCCTATAAATGTAATTAAAAAAAGAAAAATGATGGGGCTGTAATATTGTGAAGACATATTTCAATGTTAGTCCCATTTAAAGCAAAAGAATAAATGGACATTATCTGCTGTGTTACGAATCAATCCACTGATTTAACCACATCTGGAGGTAGTTTTGCTTGTGCTTTGATCCGATCTCATCGAGGTGTAAATCCATCTTGATCGGCAGTGGGTTTTATTGCTGCTGGGTCACGTAAATTAAGCTTACTATGTTAATTAATCCTCACCAGTGCTTCGCTTATCTTCTGATATATCACAGCCGTTGACAAGTCAAACGGGATCATGAAGCTTGTTTTTTGGACACTAATTTGCATTCTGAGATCCAATAACATTGCACACAAAATTTATGACAACAACCCTTTCAAATATCAAGTTTCATTGTAAAAGCCTGTGGACTGGGTGTAGTCATAAAAATTGTGCATTAAAAAAAATATACAAACTATTTTCTTTCTTTGGCCTCACATTTTACAGTGATTTGGACTTTTTATACAACACATTTACCACACAAACAGTTTGATAGACCACTTATGAAGCTAAAAGCACACAGTGGCACCCTGCTGGCAAAAACGTTGGGAAAAACTTTGTTTTATCTGCATTTACAGATATCGCTGTACTGGGAAAGACTTTTGCTCACTGATCTAAAACTGATGAAAGATATTCAATTGTGATTTTTTTTTAAAGAGCATGAATACTGGGATTTTCAGAGGCAGAAGGTGTGACATTAAATAAAGGTTAGTATATGAAATAAACAGTCGACTCGTACAACTCAATGAATGCACTCTCTTAGGGAAGACCCGGTTGGCTCGGCCTTCTCAGACTCAAAACAATCTTGTAGTAGACATGACACAAACACTTAATCTTTAGTTCATAGATCAGACAAGTATAACCTAGTATAGATTAACTAGGCCATAAGAAAGAGGTCGTTTTCGGAGACAACGCATTTCACTTATCACATCATCTCTGAATGATTTCGTGCAATCTATACTTTCGCCGACCACAAAAATTACTATGACACTATAGTTATATATCGTTTCTATACCTCGAGACCTGATGGTGCCATCTGTGACCGCCTATCGCTTGTCACTGTATGGAAAAACTGCATTTTTGTGACTTGACACCGATGCTAGCTTAGCTACAGCCGAACCTTTGTTATTGTGTGAGCAGCAGGTCGACGACGAATGCCAGCTAGCGCTAATTTGTTGGCACAGACAACAAACTAAGCCTTTTAACACTGTCATGAAACGCTGCGTTTATTGTGCACAACTGGGTTTACCAACAAAGCCAGCCGTACTCCAAAAAGCGAAGGAAAATTTTTAAAATGACCACCCCATTGTGCTTTAGCTATCAGCAGGGCAGCTAACTCGTTAGCATTTCCTTGCAACAGCCACCATTGGATTTAACCGATGCTGGACAATGTTAGCACGGCATCAGCTGGGGCTGCTCGTTAGCTAGGGCTAGCCAAAGTTAGCAGTTTAGCAAAAAAAAAAAAAAATCAAGCTGATGGAAAAATATCTGGATGAGTGACCTTTTGTTCTGAAGACGTTGATAAATGCATGTGAAGTGTCGATGTGAAGAGACAAAGGTTTCTGTATACTGACAGAAATACGGTTCGTTGGTTTAATGACCTATTGCAATCTGGTTTAGCAATAGCAACAGCGGCTACCAATCGGTAGCGCAATGCCTGTACGCACTCACCAGGATGAGTAGCCTTGCTCCGCCATATCGCCAAAAACAGTGGGTTCCGCGACTGTGGCTAACACAGATTCAGGTCCCAGTGACAACCCGTCGGGACCCGGGAGATGTTTTCTTGCGTTTCCTTCACAATTCGACGTCTTAGCGGTTACTTTTTGGTGACAACATGGTGATACATCCCGGCAGCAGCTAGTAAGAACTAGCTGAATATCTTGCGGTTAAAACGACAGTGATGGTTTGCTATCGTTAGGTGGACTAGACAAAGCACCCCGAGAAAAAAGACACAGCTGTTATTTTCGGTGGTTTCGCTAGTGTCCTGCTGTCACTCCAACCGAGAAGGCTCGGTCTCCAACGATGCTACACCCACAGTAAATCCATATTCAGCTCGCTGTATGCAGACTAAATTCGGATATTCCTCAAGTCTGCACCTCTAGCTGTTATGGAAGACGTTCAGCTTTGTTTTCTATGGCGAGTCCACGGGAGCGCGCAAAATCGCCCTACTGAAGAGGTTTACAAATAGGACGTGCACTGAAACGCTTTCATGCATCGAAAACGTTTGTAATGGTTTCCCCTCCCGGCAGCACTGCAGCCTATCATATACACAGCGATTGTGAAAGGCAACGAGTTGTTGCAATTAATTGCTGAATTATGTGACATACAAAATACGGAAAAAACGGGCCGTGCATGAATATTTAACCAATTTACTTTAGTATTATGACAAAAAATAAAATTGTAAATTAAATTAAAAATAAAAAAAACTTTTTTTCAGAGCAAATTAAATTGAATACGTGTGTATAATTATAAAAAATAAATTCGTTTTAAGATTTTTAAAAATATTGTTTTGCATAATGCGCCTCCTTTGGTGATTTTTTGTTTTTTAAAAGGGACCAAAAGCCGATAAAAGAAATGTCGTGCGGTTATCAAGTTGTCAGGACAATATGTTGACTGAATCACCCCATAGATGCCCTTTATCAAAATATAAATAAAAGAGTGTGCAACATAGCAATATTTACTGAAATAATCAAGTCAAATTTATATAAAAAATATATTGGGCCTAGTTCTTTGTTTTTTTTTCTCAATGTTTATGTTCTCAATGTTTATGATGATGATTACGTAAATAAATCCATTTGTTGTGTCGCCCCCTCTGGCTCCTCAATGTAATAACCATAGTAGGGCATTCACTGTCGTTCCCCTTTTAGTGGTAAAAAAAACATAAACTCCACATGAAGATTGGGACTTTGCAGGTGAAATAAAGGTCAACGTGTATTGGGCTTGACCAAGTTACAAGATCTCTGCTCAAACACTCAGTGACGTTATCCATGGGCGGACTTATCCGTAGCTTAATTTATAGTTCTGTGGCCAACGCCATTTCCTGCAATTATATCTGTGCTTCTGTGTCGATGGCAACATGTAGTTACACTTCTAGGGAGGTAAATGTCCAGTTACCACATAGGGTTTGCAATTACAATGTAACTACAGCACAGATTTAACACAAAAGTATAAATCCACTGTGAGTAAGCAAACAATGGAAGCATATGTTTGGTTGATGCTTGCCTGCACCACTGGAGCACTGAAAGAAAAGTTAAGACTGGCTCTGTCACGGACCCAGTTCCAGGGATTCGGGGTCCGTGAGCAGTGTGGACTACTATTGTAGTTATTATTATTATTATTATTATCATTATTGTGGTTGTTGTTATTATGGTTGTGTCTGCTGTCCTGTTTTTCCGTGTTGGTGTACTGTCAGGTGTTTAGGGGTGTGTGCTTGTGTATGTGAGGGTGCGGTCGTGGCAGGCACTTTTAGGCCTGGTGGGTGTGGCCCTGCCAGCTGACCGGTCCCACCCAGGAATCCACACACACCTGGCGCCGATCAAGCCTCGTCAGAGGAGCTTCAAAACAGTGTGGCTGAGAGCTCCTCGACGCTGGATCGTTGAGTGACTTCCCATCAGTCTTAAGCGTATTGTGCAAGGTTAGTGCAAGTCTACTGTTAGGTTTTGTACTCACGGCTGCCTTTGGTATGCGTGTTTCCTCAGGAGGAATTGTGGCGACCAGGAGGCAGCACACGGAGAGTACACAGGGAACGGAGACAGAGCACGGAGCACGGGATAAAGGAGAAGACACGGAACGGGAGTTGGGATCGCACGGGGGGTTTTATTGTTGTTCGGATTGTCACCACTGTAAATAAACACTGTTGCACTGTAGAGTCCTGCATTTTGGGTCCTCCTTTCCCCACATCCCCACGGTCTGCCAGCGAGACCGTGACAGAACGATCCAGCCATTATGGGCCCAGCGGACTCAAGGACCGTTTCACAGGAGGAATTGCTCGCCCAGCTCTGGAAATACTGTCGGAGCATTATCCAGGCGGCAGATCCACATCAGAGACACTTACAGGTCGTATTTTTTGATTCCTTCTTATCATCAATCACCTCATCTGTGAGCTTTTTGGACATTAAGAGACTAATTTCGATTATAACCACGCTGAGGGAAAGTTCCTGTTTTGAGCTGTTTGGTTTGGGCTGTCCGGGCGAGGAGGATATGGCAACCTCCCTGGGAGCCCTTGCTGCCTATTTCTTTTTTCATAGGCTGATAGCCTCCCCGCCGTCGCTTGCAGCTCGCTTGTTGGACCCTCCATTGCGGGGGAAACATTTCACACGCCCTCTGCACCTCACCACATCTCCACTCACCTCTGCGGCACCTGCTGAGTCAGCAGACCAAGGACCGGCAGCTCAAAATCACGCAGCTGCTCTCCTGTCCGGCCGGCTGGTGGAACCTCAGCCTGATACGCTGGCCCCGGCATCGTTAAAGAAGCGACGCTTGCGCCGCCGGCGTGCCTCACCGCAGTCAGACTCTAAAACTTTCCAACAGCCGGCTGTGGTGAGTCATATGGACAATTCATCTTCATTCACCTCATCTGTTTATTCACGGGACTGTGTGAAAGCTAACCTCGTAGCACAGCCAGCTGCCCAGCCTGTAGCCGTAGCACAGCCAGCTGCCCAGCCTGTAGCCGTAGCACAGCCAGCTGCCCAGCCTGTAGCCGTAGCACAGCCAGCTGCCCAGCCTGTAGCCGTAGCACAGCCAGCTGCCCAGCCTGTAGCCGTAGCACAGCCAGTCCAGTCAGCCTCTCGTCTTCATCCTCAGTTGGAGGCTGATATGCCTGCTGGAACTACCCTGCCATTATGTCACCCGCCTGTTGTTTCTACATCGCTGTCCAGTCTACCACGAGTAGCTGCCGCACCATTATCACCTCCGCCCTTTGCAGCTACTTCTCCACCAGCGTCCCATCAGACTGCAGCGACCGCAGAACTCTCAACTTCACCATCCACATCACCCGCTCGACTGTCATCTTCGCCACCTGCAGCTTCCGCATCGCCATCTTCACCTCCGGATCAACGACCATCTATACCCGCGTCGCAGCCGGAGGAGCGGCTCAGCGAGCGGGAGGAGCCTGCGTCGCCAGCTGTGGAGCTCAGCGAGCCGGAGGAGCTCAGCATGCCCGAGCAGGAGCTCAGCATGCCCGAGCAGGAGCTCAGCATGCCCGAGCAGGAGCTCAGCATGCCCGAGCAGGAGCTCAGCGAGCCGGAGGAGCCCACGTCGCCAGCTGTGGAGCTCAGCGAGCCGGAGGAGCTCAGCATGCCTGAGCAGGAGCAGCTCAGCGAGCCGGAGCAGCTCAGCGAGCCGGAGCAGCTCAGCGAGCCACCAGCAGAGGAGCTCGGCGAGCGGAAGGAACAACCGGCGCTGCCAGCCGCGGAGGGGCTCTCGCTGCCAGCCGAGGAGGGGCTCTCGCTGCCAGCCGAGGAGGGACCCGCTCAGCCGGAGGTCAGCGAACCGGAGGGACCTCCACGTCTAGCGCGGCCTCCACGCCATCCACGTCCAGTGCGTCCACGTCAGCGACCGGCGCGTCATAGACCATGTGCCACGCCTCGCTGTTGCTCACCGGAGCAGCGACGTTGCCATCGGACCCATGGCAGGCCACCAGAACCGTTCCGCCGCCACCGGACCCGTGGCAGGCCGCCTGAAGCGTTCCGCTTCCATCATGGGGTTGGAGGTAGGCCGCCCGAACTGTTTTCCCACCACTGCCTGACCCGTAGCGAGTTTTGCCTGCTTGCGGTCCACTGGGTCGGCCGCAAGAACTGTTGTTCCCACCATGGCAGTGGTTGGACATTTGAACTGGGGTTTTGGGGCCCTCCGTCCGGGACCCCCGCCGCCCGCCCGGGGTTGGTTGTACTGTGGTTTTTGTTTTTGTTTTTGGGTCGTCGGGTGCCGACCCTTAGAGGGGGGGTACTGTCACGGACCCAGTTCCAGGGATTCGGGGTCCGTGAGCAGTGTGGACTACTATTGTAGTTATTATTATTATTATTATTATTATCATTATTGTGGTTGTTGTTATTATGGTTGTGTCTGCTGTCCTGTTTTTCCGTGTTGGTGTACTGTCAGGTGTTTAGGGGTGTGTGCTTGTGTATGTGAGGGTGCGGTCGTGGCAGGCACTTTTAGGCCTGGTGGGTGTGGCCCTGCCAGCTGACCGGTCCCACCCAGGAATCCACACACACCTGGCGCCGATCAAGCCTCGTCAGAGGAGCTTCAAAACAGTGTGGCTGAGAGCTCCTCGACGCTGGATCGTTGAGTGACTTCCCATCAGTCTTAAGCGTATTGTGCAAGGTTAGTGCAAGTCTACTGTTAGGTTTTGTACTCACGGCTGCCTTTGGTATGCGTGTTTCCTCAGGAGGAATTGTGGCGACCAGGAGGCAGCACACGGAGAGTACACAGGGAACGGAGACAGAGCACGGAGCACGGGATAAAGGAGAAGACACGGAACGGGAGTTGGGATCGCACGGGGGGATTTATTGTTGTTCGGATTGTCACCACTGTAAATAAACACTGTTGCACTGTAGAGTCCTGCATTTTGGGTCCTCCTTTCCCCACATCCCCACGGTCTGCCAGCGAGACCGTGACAGGCTCAGCTTTAATTTCTAAATGTTTTATGTCAGTCATGCAGCGGTAAATGTTGGGTGCCATTGTGTAACTTCATATTGCTGCCTTCTATTGTCCTTTCCTAGTAGTGATACCACAGCCTACCCACTAATAGAATATTGATTCCCTCTGTGAACATGGAATGGAGATTTTATGGGAACAAAAACACTGCAATACCCAACTGGTCTAATGCCCAAATGGCACCCAAAGACCACAAAATTATTATTATCAGTCCTGTTAAATGTATAGCTCTAGTGATGGCATTGTCTGCCGGTCTCTGACTTTGGTCCAGGCTTTATAATTGTACAGACTGCCACAAAGTCTTGTGTAAAGGCTGAACATTGGGTTTTTTCTTTAACCCGTGGCTGTTATTTTTTTGTGATTTGCAGTTATTGTATGAATTGCTCTGTTTTTGTGCAGACTTTTGTGAATTTCTGGAATTTCGTTTCTGTACCTGATTTCTCCTGTAGCCACGTTTTGCAACAGTTTATTTTTCTCATCACTCACAATTGCAGTGACACATCTATAGACTGTTTGTCCTTTTAAAGAAGCCTTATCAGTACACAACACATCTAAAAGATCAATGTATCATTAAAGCCAGGGTTTGTTGCTTT